TTTGCTTTTTTAACCGTATGCTGTAATAGAAATAGGAAAAGCACATCGTTTGCTATTAAGGCTATCAGATAACTGGGGCATGATAGACTTGGAGGAAAGAAAACAAATTATATGTATACAACAAACTTTTCCACTTCTAGGTGATCAGGACTCTGATTCTCCCAATTTATACGTCGGTGATACAAGGCCAAAGGGCCGGCCTGTTTATGAGAGAGACAGTATAGCCAGCTGTGATCGTCAGTCCGGTCAAGCGCTTTGATTCCCCTAAGGCCGTGTTAGAGAATGCGGATGCCGAACATGTCGGCAGGCGTGTGAACACTGAAATTAGCAAGACAGGGACGGATTGTACGACGCGGATATTGGAGGGGGGTATGGGACGAAGGATTAGGGGTGCATTATCAGTCGCCATGGCATCATCTCGTACAAATGCTACTTCATCTTTGACACCAATCTATGAAGTTTTTTAGATGACTGGCCCCAGTCGAACACCGGTCCGTCTAATCACTTAGTCACTCCAATCGCTCATGTCGGTTGAAGTTATCAAGACGACACCAGGCACTAACAAAATTTTATACCCGTTCACGTAGGCAACAAGCCGCTGAATGTTAATACTTGTCAGATAGAAGATACGATAGGCATCTTAAAATGTACATACGTTCTGACCGCACAAACAAACCTAGAAGAGACAAGCACCGTTCGGCGCCTAACAGGGAGCACCTTAAAAACGATTTGAGAAAGAAAAGACGCATAAATTAAAGAAATTCATTCCGTTTTAAATGGACGAGGTGTTACTGCCACTCTTCAATGCCGAATATCAATTAAGGACACTTAACCAAATGATACACGCTAACTTCGGGACAGCGGATGTTTATTTGTCTCAATGGAAATTCAGACTTGTTACAAAGTGCGAAAATTTCGCGATGGGAAGTGCATTCGGGGTGAGCTACGTGCTTTAGATCGGAAATCAATAAACCTTTTCGAACTGGTCACAACTTTTTGTACAAATAACCTTTGCGACGGCATCCAGAATGAAATAACGCTGCTTTATTGTGCTGTATTGTAAACTTTATTGGGCTACGACAGCTTTTACGTTGTCGAGTTAATGAACTCCGTGGACTATGCAACTGGAGTGTATTGTTCACACATGCTTGGGTAGGGCAGAAGACGCTTATTGCCCGCTGGCGCAAGCGTTAAACGGATTTATGATGGACAGCTTTCCTGTTCTCGACCGCTCTAATTAGAAAGCCTGAATGACATCTGGAATTTTTTAAAAGTGCTTAATGGTATGAAGTTCAGAACTACGGTTAAGGTCCTGATGGATTCTACTGTTCTTTCTAGACTTAGCGAAATAAGTTCGCTTAAATTATTTTGAGATCATTCTAGTCGGATTGCCTCCTACCAGTTCCATGCTTCCCGGTAGACACGGCAATATAGAAACTGTAAGGACATCGTTTTTTCGGAACTTGGTAAACAACACAGCCAGATGGACGTCAGTTTTACCGGTCTGTGACTTGTCAAAGAGGCAAGCGCCTTCTTATGCAGCTGTTCCTCGGACCTTCTCTGGCAAATGAGACATCAGTTTTTCACACAAAGGACGACAAGAGCTGCCATTTCTAGAAGAAGGGTTCAGCCTCGTAATCGTCCCCGCCGACAAGCGTGGCGGGACCGCCGCAGTGCAAACGACTGAAGATGTGAAAAAAACAACCGGAAATTCTATGACTTTTCAAAGCAAGAAGGAAAGAAACGGGGCGAACACCAGAACCATTTGTTTGCTTTTTTGCGGAAGTCCATTGTCAGAGATAAAAGCAGCAACAAAATGGATGACAGTTATAGAGGGTTTAGCCAACCAAAAATCAATAACAGAGGCGTTGAAGTGGCTGCGCAGGTCTTTGTATGCCGACGCCAAATCGATACATCAGTTGACTGCGTTTCCATCCAAAGCCCAGGTTTCAATCAATTTTCGACTCAACTTTCTTCTGGCCTCGACAATTATTCCGGTGCCAAGGATGTTAATCTCGTGACTCTTTTCGGTGGTCGGCAGCGACTTTCAATGATTCATCACCATGTCGTACGGCTACCTTACTTTAACGCATTCGCGGTACGAGTACGTCTTCATTCTAGCCTGTGTAATACAAAGACAGTTTGGACATGAGACACGTCGAACTATGCCTGACTTCTCCCACGGGCTTAATCGGTTCTTAATTCTCACGACTCTGCTGTGCATGATGGCTTTTGGTCAGTGCACAATTCAGAAACTTTGTCCCACAGCAATGGGTTCTCTCGCCTCAGAAACTTTCTTGAAATATGTCAGGACATGCCGTACCTTCGGTAGTGTTCTTTTTGGGTCCTCGGGGTCAACCACGTGGGCATTGACTTATAAAGGCTTTCGGATAATCATTACACATAAACTGATCGCGGTGATATCGAGTCTTCAGGGGTTTGTCTGCTGAGTTGCTGCTATGTCTGAAACAATTTAAAGAGAGTTCTCATACAGCTTCGTTTGTGAGTCGCTGGACTGTTGCTGTGAAGAGTGAGAAGTTCCAGACAAAGAAGCAAGCCACGGAGAACAAAAAATGAAATACGTTTGGATAGCTGGAAGTAATAAACGGCGATGAAGCAACTGTTGAAGTTGTGGACGGTCTCTGCATCCCAAAATTGCTTTGACTTCCAAAAACATACAAAGTGTACTTACTACTGAAAATCGCAGTGCTCTTATCCGGAGCACCAGGTAATAACCTCGCAAAATAGTCGCTGAAACGTAGGAGACATGTAAGAAATTATTCCTTTCATAGTATCAGCAATTTTGCAGTCATTTTCTCAGAAAACTTAAAACTCGGTCGTAGGTTTAGATGAATGCACCTTTTGCATTAAAGTTTTCGCCTGGTTCTGGTGTTGAATGTGCGGCTAGACGTTTGCAGGACGATACTGCCAAAATCTCAAGACTTTTGTCAGCTGGACAGGGAATGCTACCAAAGACATAGGAGAACGCCGCTGGGTTTTCCGATATAAGGGTTCCTTGCTGAACTAGTTTAACAGCTTCTGAATAAAAAGTCGGTCGGGTTTGGTCCTGCAGTCCCACTGGCGGTAGGGAAACCCTAGACGCCTGTAATGCGGGAATGGTGGTAATAGGGGTTTAACGGGTGGGGCCGTGGAGCAGGCCAAGGAAAAGGCGGTAATTTTAGAAGGCAAATGAAGTCATATTCGAACAAGTGAAGGTAGTTTTCAAGGAGGTGAAATTTGAACGTGTAATATAAAACTTAAAAGCTGTATGTATAACAGCTTGTGGAAGCAACTGTAGTGTAAGATGCGAGAAGAAACGCAACAGGAAAGCTGCCAGCCAAGAGGAAGCGTGAACGCATTGCCAAGGCCACTCCGCAAAATTTTCAAAGAAAATGACGAGTGATGGAGACAAGGGCGCAGAACAAAACGAAGAAATGGCCTCGAAACCAGTAACATAATCGAAGTAAGGCAAATGTGTCGTGGAATTTTTAATTTAAAAGAGGGATACTCAAAGGGAAGTGGTAGCTATGAAACCGTGAAGACCTTTTTTGAACTGGACGGAGGTTGCTAAGTGATTGCGCAGTCCCGGGGGTTTTAGAAGCGGCTGTATGCAATCCTGAAGAATAAATATTTTTAATTATTTCAGTTGCACACTGTAAGCGGGCAAACCGCGGAGAAGGGGGGCGGTCGCAGTTAGACAAACCCACGGAGTTTACCAAAGTGCAGGAGGCAATCAGTTCTCCTCACTGTGTGCAGTATTTGCAAGATGAAAGACTGCTTACATCGGGAGTAATATGTCAGTGCCGCAGACCAATGAAACTGCAAGTATTACGACATAATACAGATGTATATATGTTTATGTCTGCCATCATACCCAAGTAGGCATGATTTTAGATGCGGCCGATACAAAACAAATAGTACTAGAAGGCGACTATAGACATATCTTGACAGTTCGACCATCGGTTTCGATGATGTCCACCGTGTGCCCCACAGTTGCAGCAGCAGTGGGAGCAGGGACGGTGACTTACGCAGGGGTTTATAGTGCCAGTAGACTTGCGTAGCATCTACCTACACTCTATCCTCCTCCCTCGCCCGAGCCCGGTGTCAAGACAGAGTCTTGAAGACCGGAGACGAGGGAGGCCGCAGGTGGATGGCTCGGACGGATCCTCACCTTGGCGTTCCACCACACCCCCTGGTCCACACAACAATAACCAGGATTTCAACCAACACAACAGAGATTTGGAGGCTGGCACGACCGAAGCCGCACCTAAGCGTACCGCCAACGCCTGGCTCGGATCCCACACTGTGGTGGGAGTGCCACAAAGGCCACATTAACAAGGAGCCATTGCAGCTTGACTCTCAGACCGCCTCCAGTGAAGGAGGAGGTCCAAGTTACCCCGTCAGTTGGCAACCTTCCAAGCCACGGCTTTTAGCGCACCGTGATAGCTTCAAGCGCGTCAGATTGTTTATAGTGAGGAGAAAGTGCGTTGAGTCGTCGACCTCACTCTCCCTTCCCACTCCCACACCCCAGCCGCTGTCCGAGCCGGTCAGCAGACTGGAGTGGGGAGTGGGCGCGGTGGCTGTCATGGTCGACTGACCATGACTGCGCGCGCCACGGCACGACCTGGCCCCCCATACACACAACGGGGGTTGAACGGCATGTCTCTCACTTGCGTAAGAGTGCCGTGGAAGGTGCTGTTTCAGCCCGTCCCCAGCCCACCAGTCCGCCACTCCACACAACACACACACACACACATAACGCGACGAACTGCGTGAGCCGAGAGCGGGCGTCAATCAGCAACCTTCCTATCCACGACGCTTGACGTGTCGGGATAGTCTCGGACTCAAGTCACCCGTGCAGCCGAAGCCGCATGGGGACCGAGTCAAGATGCGGACTTCCCACTTGCGTGGGAGGTGGCAGTTGGGTGCGTGTTCATGTGTGGTGGTGATGGTGGAGGAAGGTAGGGAGTGTGTGGATGTGTGGTGTAACCAGCGGTCGTCTACCGCAGGTCATCGTGGATACGCATTTGTCCGAATAGGCCCATGCGATGCCTGAAAGCGCGAGGGCAGTGTCGACAGTTGAGACGAGCGTGGCGGGTGTAGGTTGGGGGTCTAAGCACTGGTTCGCCAGTCTCTGTACGATGGATTCGCAAGTGACCGACCAGGCCGATGTGTGAGGTGAACGTGCGTGGACAGTGTGGGCATGAGAGGTCGGTGGTGTCGGTGTCAGCTGTAGAGGAGGCAGTGGTGATGGGCGCGTATGGCGATGGAGCAGGAGTGGTGCTGGGCATGGTGGATGTGTTGGATGTGGTGGGTGTGTCGGAATTGTGGTCACTTCCGCTCTCGTGGATGCGCACGTGACCGAATAGACCCATGCGGTGCGTGAAGGTGCGAGGGCAGTGTGGGCAGTGGAGGCGAGTGCGGTGGATGTAGGTTGGTGCTCCAGGCACTGGCTCGCCAGTCTCCGTGCGATGGATTCGCAAGTGACCGACCAGACCGATGTGTGGGGTGAAGGTGCGGTCGCAGTGAGGGCAGGTGTTGTCCTGATCCTCATCGCTGGAGTCGCGAGAGGTGGGGGTGGTGTCTGTTGTTGTGTCGCGGTTGGTGATGTGCGAGACGGCCGCCTGAGCTGCCGCCGTTGGGGCAGTGGTGGAGGAGGAGGAGGAGGATGGGGAGGGGGAGGAGGAGGAGGAGGAGGAGGAGGAGGAGGAGGAGGATGGAAGTGGTGGGTCAGAAGAATTGTCAGAATTAGTTGGCGGCGGAGAGGAGGAGGAAGAGTCGGGCGGGGGGACAATGGTTGGTGCCGTTCGAGAGGCGCAGTTAATCCGAAGATGTCCAACAAGTCCGATTCGAGCCTGGAATGTCCGTTGACATCGAGGACACGTTGGAAGCGGTTGTGCGGCGGCGTTGCGTACTGGGCGAAGTTGTGATTTGCGGGCTTCACGTTTCGCTTTGGCGGCAGCGATGCGGTTGGCTTCGTAGACCGCAGCGCCTGTCTTCATTGTCCTCCTCCAGGTCGGTCGAGCGAGTGAGAGCTCCTCCCAGTTGGTGGGGTTGATTTGCAGGCGTTTCAGGGAGGACTTCAGAGTATCCTTGTAACGGCGAATTTGGCCTCCTTGACGGCGAGAACCCGTCGCGACGTCTCCGTAGAAGAGTCGTTTTGGTAGTCGCTCGTCGTCCATGCGCACCAGGTGGCCGCTCCAGCGCAGCTGCATTTGTCTCAGAATGGCGTAGATGCTGAGGATTCCCGTCCGTTCCAGCACATCAGTGTCGGGGATTCGATCCTGCCACTTCAGCCTCGGGATGCGTTGAAGACAACTGAGGTGGAAGTGGTTCAAGCGACGTGCCTGATTTGCGTACACCGTCCAAGTCTCCACTCCATACAGTAGTGCCAGCAGGATAACGGCCTTGTACATCTTCAGCTTCGTGCTCAGCTGAAGACCGTGGCGATTCCAAACTGTGCTTTGGAGGCGACCGAAGGCTTGACTGGCTTTCGAGATCCTGTTGGCGACTTCGTCGTCGATCTTGGTGTTGCGGGAGAGAGTACTGCCCAGGTACGGGAAGTTCTCCACCACTTGCAGTTGGGTTCCGTTCACGCTGATTTGCGGCGGCGCGTTAGGGGCTGTGACTGAGTGGGGTGGCGGTTGGTGCATCACCACCGTCTTCTGCGTGTTAATGACCAGAGCGAAGTTCTCACAGGCGGCGGAGAACAGGTCCATGCTCCGTTGAATCTCCTCTTCCGAGGTGGTGCTCGGGCGCAGTCGTCGGCGAAGAGGAGTTCGTGAACGGTGGTTGTGGATACGCGCGATTGGAAGTGCATCCGCCGTTGATTCAGGAGGTGGCCGTCCGTCCTGTAGCCGATGCGGATCCCGGGGCGTTCGTCGCGGTAGGCGTCCATCAGCATGGCAGTGAACATAAGACTGAAGAGGGTAGGCGCCAGTACGCAGCCCTACTTCACTCCATTGGTCACTGCGAATGCCTCTGAGACAGCTCCGTTGTCTGTGACTCGCGCCATCATACCATCGTGCAGCTGACGCTCCATCTGGGTGAATCGCTCCGGACAGCCGAATTTCTGCATGATCTTCCACAGTCCTTCACGATTCACCGTGTCGAAGGCTTTCGTCAGGTCCACGAAGGTAGATTTCAGGTGGGTCGGTATCTCCTGGCACTTCTCCTGAAGTTGACGGGCGGCGAAGATCATATCCGTGGTCCCACGATGACGACGGAAGCCACATTGGCTTTCAGGCAGAAGGCCCTGTTCGAGATGGTTATTGAGACGGTTGAGGAGGATTCGTGCGAAGATCTTCCCGCCGATGTTCAGTCGGGAGATGCCGCGGTGATTGTCGCAGACTTGGCGATTCCCTTTGCGCTTGTAGAGATGCACGATGGTTGCGTCCTTGAAATCTTGCGGGACTTCGCCTTGACGCCACATCTCCTGGAAGAGCGCAGTCAGGTGATCCATCAGTAGGGGACCTCCGTGCTTGTAGACCTCAGCAGGGATTGCGTCCGATCCGGGTGCTTTCCCGCTGGAGAGCTGCTGCACGGCCCTTACGGTTTCCTGGAGAGATGGCGGGAGGTCGAGGTCCACGTTGGTCTCCACTTGCGGCAAACGCTCGATGGCGGCGTCAGAGATGGCAAAAGGGCGGTTGAGGACGCCTCGAAAATGCTCGGTTCGTCGCGTTAGAATTTGTGTCTTCTCAGTCAGGAGAGTGCTACCGTCGGCGCTGAGGAGAGGAGCAGTGTCCTTCGTCGTCGGACCGTAGACAGCTTTGACCACAGAGAAGAAGTTCTTCCATTCGTTGCGGTCCGCGTAGCCTTGGATCTCCTCGGGTTTGCGAGCAGTCCAGGCGTCCTGCATCTCGCGCAGTCGTTGCTGAAGTTGGCGGCGACCGCGGTAGAAGGCAGCTTTGGTGGCATCAGTGGGGTGATCTACGTAGGCTTTGTGTAGGCGATCTTCTCAACAAGCAGATTTCTGATGGCGGCGTCGTTGTCGTCGAACCAGTCCTGGTGTTGGCGGGGAGCGCGACCGAGGACGGCGAGTGCCGTCGACTGGACCGTGTCTCGCAGTTGACACCAGCGGTACTCTACAGAGGCGTTCTCGGCAGCGGCGGCGTCGGCAGCGATAGGAAGGTTGTCTAGCCTTTGAGCTAGCTCATTGCTGAAATGAAGATGGTGAGCGGGCAAAGACGACAAGGCAACATTCAGCTTACCGGGGGTCGCTTACCTTGTGGTCTCCTGTGAGGCTGTAGGCGAATACGCATTTTCGAGAGGACGAGGCGATGGTCGGTCCACCCGTCAGCACCCGCGATCGCCTTCGTCACCAGCACGTCCCGCTGATCTCGCCTCCGGACGAGGACATAGTCCAGCAGGTGCCACTGACGCGACCGAGGATGCCTCCAGGTGGCCTTCTCTCGCCCCGGCAGACAGAAGAACGTGTTCGTCAGGATGAGGCGGTGTTCTGCGCAGGTGCGGAGAAGCAGCAGACCATTGTCGTTTGAGCCGCGGAGACCGTGGGGACCCAGCACTCCTTTCCAGGCAGTATGGTCTGTGCCGACGCGGGCGTTGAAGTCGCCAAGGACAATCAACTTGTCCGCCTTCGCCACAGTCGCCAAGAGGGCGTGCAGGTCCTCGTAGAATTTGTCTCTGACGGCGTCAGGGTTGGTCATCGTCGGAGCGTAGGCGCTGATGATGGTGGCGAATTTGCCTCCCCAGAGAGGCAGGCGGAGGCTCATCAGACGATCGTTGATGCCTTGCGGCAGACTGGGCAGTCGTCCCACGATGTCGTTCCGAATGGCGAAGGCGACGCCCGCGTCTCGTCGCTGTGGCCTTGGCCGACCACCCCAGAAGAAGGTGTAGCCGGCACCTGCCTCCTCCAGTTGGCCTTGATCGGAGAATCGGGTCTCGCTGAGTGCGGCGATTTCCACCTTGTAGCGGGCGAGTTTTCGTGCCACTAGAGCCGTCCTCCGCTCCGGTCGGTTGCTCCTCGGATTGTCTAAAAGGAAACGAACATTCCAGGCTGCCAGAGTGAGCGGGCTCCCCCTGCCAGTCGGGGGACAACGAGTGGGGCCACGGGAAGGAGGTGGGAAGGAGGTGACGAAGGAGAAGAAAAGGCAGAAGAATAGGCAGAGGAAGAGATAGAAGAGGTAGGATGAGGAGACTGAGTGTGGTTGTTGTTGTTATTGGTATTGTTGTTGTTTCGATTTTGAGTGTTTTGACCATGATTAGACGTCTGCGGCCCTGGCTAGCCTGAAGACGGCATGGTACCCAGCATTTTTTAGGTCAACCTTTCTGGGCCCTTCTCCTCGTGGGGGCAGGCAGTGTCGCCCCTGAATCGGGCTGCCCATGTGCCTGGTTGGCGCGACCGAATCCCACTATGGGGCCACGACTTTTGTGTGTGTAGTGGAGAACGACCGCATAGGTCGTGAGTCCGCGGTCTCCGTCGGCGAGGGTGGGCGCGTCTCAGCGAAGGCGATGCGGAGACCCGTCCCGGCAGCAGTTGTCCAACGGCGTACCAGGCAGAGCCTCGTCTCGACGATGCCGGCGCAGTTTTTCATCCGACCATCCATCCAGCGGAGTCCGCAGTACACTGTGCACGCGGCACGAGCGCACAGCGCCCTCACCTGGTTTAGCCCGCTGGTCGAGACGGTTGCCCGGGGTGTGGCCGCTGAGCAGAGCCCAGCTTCGTGGAGCCACAGGTGAGAGTTGGGTGCAAGCAAATGGCCGCTAGGCGTAGTCTCACCTGCAAGCAAGTGAGCGACCACTACGACCATCACATGAACCCACCGCTGGACACCCCTACACCCCAGACATATCTTACAGGTTCTTGAGGTTCTTGAATGAACGCTATAGAAAATACTCAGCATGATCTGAACTGGTCACACCCCAAGAAAGTTTGGAATGGATTCATCTGAGCGATTGAGATTGCGATAGAAGAACTGTGTTTAAGCTAGACCTCCTATTTTCAGGATAGATAGAGATACCGATTCTGACTGAGGTGGTGTTTGACAAAATTACGCTGGCAATAACGAAAATGATGAAAACCTGCCTGGATATTCTCGGTGGGACCTCCGAGGGCAAAAACCGCACCACAGCCGTGGAATGATACAGCATTTGGCAGGGTGTGTGCTTGAAGGCATTCCCGAACGAGGTGGAGCAAATCGGGGGAAACTTTCCTAAGCCACGAATGGTAATCGTATCCAGTTAATGACGGTCAACAAACAGTGCTGAAAACGTCTTAGCAAACGGACCAGTACGTTGATCTATAACGCTGATAATGAAAACGCAGGTGAATATGCAGCAGAAAAGTAGCACACGGAAACGGATATTCTGCGTTTTTCGGAAGCCCGACCCATGTACATCACCGAGCAATCGTCCCCCGCGAAGTTGTCTAGTAACGTAATGTATTAGTGAAATTTAGCTTGATACGTCAACGGCATCCTTCCTAAAGGTACCGTGTACGTTGCGCCCCGCTGAAGCACCTCCGGTGACGTAACCTGTACGTGCGCACTCACTGGAGTGGGACCGGAAAGGAGTAGAGCCGTTGACGCACGCAGCCTAGCCACTCGCTAGATTAGGAAGGAATGTGATCGCATAGTCACTTGGGAGATAGAACAGTGCCACTAACATTACTTTAACGTAATTTCACCTACTAAAATAAGTTAGTAGGGTGACCGTATGACATCCGTCAAGTGTGGCTGCGGGACTAAACCTTGACAAAAAATCGACCAAAAAATTGTACCAAAATCCTGGTTCTGGTATCTCAACAACGCCTTTGTCGTCACAAAGAGGAACGAGGCCGGAAATTTATACCAGACGTTAAAGCGTGCATTTTGGTAAAGTCCGTTGTCAAATGATTAGGCCTAAAATGCCTGTCGACAGACATATAATGACGAAGGGCTTTCATGAGAAAGACACCATTGTCGATATATTTTTCTGCCACAAAGGCAAACATTCCATCGTTCACAGAAGCAAGTGCTTAGGAACACTCTTCTCTTTTTTGTCTATTGTAGAGATTAAAATTTATTTTAAATAAAAGTGAATTATCTTTACCACCTAATGACATGTAGTGGACATTTGACAAGTTTCAGGAAAAACTGCCATGGGCGGGAGAACCATAGATTAAGGACGGACAGAAAAATTCCTATCCCAGCCACGCCTAAAAGGTGTTTTTGCAGTTACCTCAAGACACCTTCGAAGTGTTACTATTTGCACCGCACACAAGCATGTACTATTACTACAGAAAGCAACATCAGGTTTCCAAACCGGCAAACCAAAGAATGAACAAAGTAACATTGCCCTGAGCAGTCAATGCGTTGGTTGTGCTTACATGTATGCTACCACTGCGATTCGCGACACCAAATATGGACAAACTTTCCGTTGAGGCAAGTCTCTTCACTAGAAAGTGGTGATCTTGTTTATTTTGAAATCGTCGAAGTTATCGGCAGATCCCCAGCTATTCTCCAAGCATTTCTCAAGGCTCTGATTTCCGCCACCGATAGGAGTAATTGTCATCTTGACGTCAATAGGCACTGGGAAGGCATACGAGAAGATCTCATCGGTCGCTTCGCAACATACCACTCTCTTGTTTTACCGGCACAATAAACGCAATCCCACCTACAGGGGACATGCTCATAACCGCGCTTCTCCTTTTCCCTCCTATTCACTGCCTGGGAACGTAGTTTGGGACCTCATTATCCCAATTGTATCTATTGTTTGTAGCCTCCCAACCACACGTTCACTGCCGCTCGTGATCTTAGCCCCCCAATTTCCCATACATTAGCAAACGAACAGGCCTCACAGAGGCTGTTGAGAAGAGCTCGGGGTTCTACAACGAAATTATTAATTTTCTAGAGGGTTTTCTCCTAGCTCCAGTGTTTCTCGAAATGCCTATCACCGCAGTGTTACGTAATTAATACCTGCCGAAATCCTCTTTAGTGGTGAAAAAATTCAGTGACATAATTCTCGCGTGTCAGAAACAAGTGTTTTACGCCTATAGCTTTCGATAAATTATCAGTAATTAAATTCAGAGATTGTAGTACTTGCTGATATTTTAAGTATTGTGCAATCCGTTAAAATTACGAGGTATTCGTGTGCAGTGATAATCATTTTCCATGCTACTGTGAGTATACTGGCTGTGAAGACAGAATCACTCATAAAATGATACATTACTCAACGAAATTAGAAGGCTGGGCTTTTGTGGAGACAGCATACTTACAGAGAGCGTCTAAACACGGTTTACAGAAGGCAATCACTTTATTTTAGGCAATAAATTGCAGGGTTGACTTTTAACTACGCGTATTTTTCTCGACTGAGATATACAAAGATGGCTTGTGAAGATGAACTAGATATTTCCTTCAAGACAGTCCTTGAGTCATTTTTATTCAACAAATATGCATACACACAAAATTATTATTCTGATTTTAGCGTATATCACGGCAAAGATAACTCTTGGACAAAAATTATTAATCGAGAATATAGTTGATGCCCGCTAAACGAATTTGTTTTTTGGCCTCCTTACTTACCTTCCTCCGAACACGATGTGAAAGACCAATATACGATTAGGATAGGATGAGCGGTTTCATAATCTGGCCAAGGCGCTTTGAACCAATGCTTTTCAGTGAATCGAAATCCACCTTATCTTTTATTGTCTCTTTCAGACCCAGTTCATCTCCCTTTTTGTTTCAAGACTTTGAGGAAAAAGTCCAACTCGAGACTTCAGTATGTCAGGGTTGTCCCTTGAGAGATCAGAGGATTTCAAACAATTCATAAGATCGAGGATGATATTTTAAACCCAACAATGTGGTAATGAGCGCACCTGAAAAATACGAACTTACACCAGCACAGTATCGAAAAGTTTTACTCTGTCGGATTTTAGTAGCAAGTAAGTATTAAGGAAAACTGCTCTCGGAGTAAAACCCGAAGGAGTGAGTCTTAACGTGCTTTTAAAATTGGCGTGGCAAACAGACATACGTCCTACGGAGCACGCCGAAATAGAACAGATTAATTTAATTAGACGGCGTCACGAGAAAGCTGGCAAGATAACCGAATACAAAGAAATATTATGCAGATATGGTCTTGCTTCTCATACAGATCACTACCAAAAAAATGGCAGACATAATTTACAGTACGTGAAACTAGTAAATGAAATACTAACCACTTTGGTATCCACAATAAAACGCAAAAAAGTGAAGGCTTGTGATGCACTCTGTTTTGCCTATTACAGTCGTTGTTCAGGTCAGTAATAATGAACACTTTTAAAGCCGCTGGAACATTTGTGCTTTAAACTGATCCGGCTTCTTACAGCGATTGAAAACTTAAAACGTGAAATCTTAAGGGCACAACAAATCAATGTATGTGCAACTCAATTTTTTCAGCTATACAAAGTTGCAATGACAAATATAAAGATTCTGACGATGCTTTTGGAACCAAAGTCTGGACAAGCGTAATAAGAAATCCGGTGTTTTAATTTTTATCCAGTCTGGTAGTGTATTATTTCGTTTAGGGAATTTCTCGGGAGTCGACTTGTACCCGTCGACAACCTGACTGACCTACATTGGTCTGCTTGGGGAGTACAGTGGGAACGAATAAAATTGTTATTTTTCACTTTTCTGCATATCTTGGCCCATTCTTTGACCATTGGTAAGGGCGAGTTCCTGAGTCTCGTACAGAGCAGGGCTTCGGACGTTTTTCTTTCCTCGAACACAATTACTCTTCAAAAACCGTAACATTCAAAGTCTCTTATTTATGTCTGGATCATATAAACCGCCCGGAAACCGATAAAGAAACGAAACACTTGAAGGTGTTGGTTATGTTTCGTAGATAAAAGATTCAAAGGAATGTATGCCTCTCTTTCTAACCTCTATTTTTGTTCCTAGTTTAAAATCAAGGAAAGTAAACAGACAAAGGGTTTCGTGAAATAGCAGTTCTTAACTGCACTTGTCTGAGAATATCATCTAAAATATTGTTTGCTATAATTATGAGGAACTGGATAATCTTATAGGGCATGCTTTAACCATCAGCCAGACCTCCTGGAGACCTTTCTATAAACACTTTAGACAGAGACCCAAGGTAAGATTCAATGTTTTTGTCTCTTATAACAGCCAAGCCGGATCGGGTAGTTTATCCCTCGCAGGACTCAATTCAATAATGCCTGAGATTTTTCACGTAATGGATCAAGTTGACGTAGGTAAACATGACTTTCGGTCCCTGTAGTTCATGGGCATCCTTAGATCTGTTAACGAAATACTCAGTTTAAGATAATTATTGGCTTTCCAGGAAGATTCAAAAGGAAGTTAGATTTTTTTCTGAGATATAGTTCTTCTCTGTCGTCTAACACCATCTACTAGTCGTTGATCGTTTGCCATTGTTGGGTATTTTGGGCAAAATGCTCCTTCAATAGATAATTCGGGCTGCAAGAGTTAACTCAAACACATGAAGAATCCAGTAAAATATGTTTTTTCCAGGGATGACAATATCGGCTGTCATTTCAGCGGCAACCGAAGGGAACTTATTCGTATCCTTGAAGGGTTGCCCTCAGCAAAATAAATCTGCACTCTGCCTTAAAATTTGTAAAGCCTGTGTAATACAGAGCCAAGTGAGCAACGAGGGAAGAAAAGGAAAGACAGAGGTAATATTTCAAACTCTGCGGGGAGGTTCTCATTTTGATTTTTGTGCCGGTCTTGAAAACTAGAAGGATGGGCCGAGTTTCCTGATTATCGAAGATTTACCATCGCTCTGGACGACCGTAAAGACTTAAAAAGTCATCTTTTGCACGCATCTGATCTGGATCCACTTTCTAACCGCGTTTTGATGTAAATGCATATTTTGGCAAATATTAAAAGCGAACTTGCATGACATTTGCGGGCATGGATTTTGTGTCTTTAAATTTTATCTTAATCCATGACAGTGGTAACAGTTATGGTAATGGTAGTGATTATGCGATATGTTGTAGGATGGTTGTCCTCCATTGTAGAAAATTTTCTCCTCTTCTTTATTAGAAGTAGAAATGCAGAGTGTAAAAGACAGCGCAAGCTAAGCAACTGCGGTGAGTTACAGTTGGAAGACTCGAATATCTTGCTTTATACACAATGCTTCTTATTGGATTAATTTTATAGCAGCTTTTACACTCGCAGCATACGCTCAAAATGCCAAAACATTGAACGGACACCCTAACACTGTTTTCAAAAAGATAGCATTGTTTGCAATGCCCACGGCTTTTATGTGAAAACCTGGTGTTTTGCGAGCATCACATCGGGTATGTACACGCAGACGGGCGTTTAAGCTGCGCCCAATCCCCCCCGTCAGATGACTGACCAACTCAGACAGTGGACCGGTGCAAGAGGGAATAGCGGCTGAGGTCGACTCTGGGGGCGGTGCCGCCACGGCATTCAGCGTACATTTCCCAAGATAGACAGTTTGACGCGTCTTTAAACTATCATGGTACGCCAGTGTTCATGGCATGGAAGGCGGTTTACTAAAGGCATAACTCGGTCCTCTCAGGACGGAGAGTCGGGTTGCAATGACTCCTTCTCAATGTGCCGTCTATAGTACTCCCACTCAAATGGGACCTGAGCCGCTCCTCTCTTGTTTGTGTGAAAAGCTGCGCCATCTTGCACGGACCAGGGATGTGTGGCATGCATAGTGGGGTATTTGGCTCCGTTAGCCGCTGCTCCCTCTTCCGCCTCCGGTCTTTTGACTCTGTCATGAGGCTGTGTCCAGGCGGATGAAGGAGGAGAGTGGATGCGGTAGATGCTGCGTCAGTCTACTAGCAACGCAACTTAATTCGTATAGAGGCGAAAAGGCGATTTCCAGGAGCAGTTCAGAAGAAGATGATGATGCGATCACGAGCAAGTCACCATTCTAGAATCCACCCTGCTGTGGTATGTGCACAGGCGTTTCTAGACAACTTGCAGTGAAGTAACACTTTCTCAGAAGGAAGGCATACCATTTACTTTAAAAACCACCAGAACATGCGCCTATGAAGATAGACACCTTTATAATATACTAATCTGTAATATGCCGTTAATACTTGGATTTCATAAAGAAGAATCATTATAAAAAATATTTAAAGGGAATAAGATTTGACATGCTTTCTTAAAGACTCTATTTGCTATATATGGAAACTGAAAAACATTCCGCAACTACTGGGGATACCAGAAACTAATGTCGCTTTTTAGTGAATGACAAGGAACTTTTTAGTAGAAGACGCTTTATGTTTTGATCAGTATTATAACTGCTATTATTTGATCCAGTGCTGCCCATCTTGAAACTGACTTCTCTATACCATCTTTGTTAAAGGTCTGTTTTTATAAGAATAATATCGAAAGTCTAGTTTTAAAAGCATCGACATTTCAAACTGTTTTTCCGCTCAAGAAATGCTGCAAAGATCTGAACAAACGATAATCATTTTAAGTTCAATCAGATAATAAAGCCGGTGGATCAAAAGATCCCAATCTAAACCTTGGATCTGGTTTTAAGTCTGTCGACCACAATGCGGCCTCGCGTTTTCATGTATAATAATAAATTCTTTAGCGGAACTTTGGACGTTTAACGGCAAGAGTTTGGTTCAAACGTTCTAATTGCTGACAGTGGACTTCTTCTATTACAATCTGGTTTCGTTCTGGCAACTCCAAGTGAAGTATGCCACCATACCACACCAAGCAAATAGCAAGACTTTCTTGAGGCATGGGCTCGATTTTGACGTAAGAACTGGTGTCCGACCTCTAGAAAGCCATTGATGTCCGCGCTTGTTGTTAACGTAAAAAATCCTTTTCTCATCCGCAGTGGCAATTCGACGGAGTAATAGTTACCTCGCTTGTTTACTTGATAAAATGTTACAGATTTTGGAGTGGTGGGCTTTGTTTGCCATTGAAAGTTGGCGTGAGACCCAACCAAACCCTAGCTAATAACCTCCTTTATCTGCCGAAGATGATTCTGAACAGCATACTAGGACTAATTTGGTTTTTCTGCTAATTCCTTGGTGGTCTGATGAGGATCTGCCTCAACAGTTACGCGCGGAGTTTCGTTGCCTGGTTCCACTGTTCTTTTCAGACGATGGACATCAGAAAGGCTCAAATCGTCTGATCGAAATCTCCCGAACCAAAACTGGAAATTTTGAATATCTAAAACATTCTAATGAACACCACAAATTATTTTGGTGGGTGTTGTTGCGTCGTTTTCATTGGGAAATTCATATAGTGAAAAAATGGTCGCCATCGGATTTTACGTATTTTATTATGTTAAACCCAACCTCAAAATAAAATTTGGGCAAGATGTGATTTGGTAGTCCCGCCTGATGGGCACAGCATTATTGGGGTTGGGGTTAAGGGTTAAAATTAGTACTTATGGTTGGGGGTTATGCTTAGGAGTTGTGGTTAGGGTTAAAGGTTAGGGTTAGGGATTAGCGCAACTATTTCTCAACCATTGAAATTACAACCACGCACTCCCAAAAGCTTATCTTTTGCATACACCTACTTTACCTCTTCGCCTGTGCGTTCCCCGGCTCCACCTGCAAAAACCCCTATTACCACCGGTACCGTATTATAGGTGATTGGAGTTTATTTACGTCAGGTTGGGCTACAAAACCACATCCGAACCTAAATTTATATCGGAATCTGAAAATGAAAACCTGACTGAGTTGCAAAGACATGCACTGCAAACGGAGCAAACCTTAACATTAAATACATATCATTTAAATTAAGACCACAAAAACAGCACTGCTTTTGGCGCCCCTAATAATATTCAGCTGCTCTAGTGGTTTCTATGTAAGTGAAGTCAACATGTAATAATTGAAGACTAGTATACGACGGCATATTAATTAGTTCAGGCTTATATTCCATTCCTGTCGGTATTGCCGAACAGTTTTAAACAGGAACCCTGTATGTGCACTATAGTTGAAATGGTTCGAGTTAAATGGCCAATATCCCTTGGGGATTTTCCTATTTCGAAGTTCAAGACTCGTGTCTAAACTTCAAAAACAGGTAGTCAGTCAATCAAACTACTGGGGTGGATTAACGACGGTTTTAAATTTGCGTCTTGGCTTCCGAAGAACATATATGGTCGTCCATCACCAGAGACTAACGGGTTCAGCATGCATCGAACTTTGCAAGAAAGGGGGTCTCTACTGTACTCCTCTCCGTTGGCTTCCACATACCTATGAGCCTGTAAGAAACCACCTGTAGATGTCGCAAGTAGGGCAGATGAGGGAGGCATAGTCGGTCGACACCACTTCCCTCGTCATATCCATTACACAAACGTTCGTTGTCAAGTCAACGGGCGACCTACTGTGTTATCGCTGTGAGGACGTCGACTGCTATCTTAAAACTTATGACCCCGTGAAAATCTTGAAACATTGCCTAGGGACCTCCTTCTCATCTGACGAATCCGCCTACGAACAAATCAAAAACACGCTATTGAGGTGCTTGCTTTCCGGGCTAGTCTCTGAGGTTCCCGAAATGCAAGTGGTCCAGACGTACAAGGGCTACTTTTTACTTCATATGATGGCGACACCTCTTTAATCCTCAAACGATGCAAGATAGCGTATTTTAAGGACCAAATCTACTCGGTCGCTCCGATTTGCGTCTCATCAAGGATGGAGAAGTGGACAGGAGGTTCATCATCTCAAATGCCCTCGAGAGCCGTCAGCACAACGATTACTTAGTGACAACGTTCTGCAGGACATTGGGAAACAGAGTAAGTGCTTTACCTTTAACGGCAATCATCCGATGTAGCAAAAACATAGTTGCGTACGAAAGCTCACCCGGTAGGTAGAGACTCGCTGGAGTACACTAACTGTCCAGCCAGCCGAGCGGAGCCATATAAACACTGGTGAATATGTGTGGTTGCTCCCGAGAGGGACCAGCGTTTTCGAGGGCGCATTATGAAGAAAACCAGCCGACCACCATCATGGTGCTGTCCCATTTGCAAAATCTGTGCCAGTGGTCATCATTAGAGTAATTAGAACATTCGGAATTGAGAGCGCTTACAAGTACAGCTGGACGCCTCGCCGACAAATGAGGTAACTAAGAGATATTCAAGCCTCAAATCGGATAAGTTATCCGACCAAAGCGTAATCTTGTCAAAAGGACCTCCTAGGTCGTGAGCTGACGCATTACCACAGAGTAAAACGGGTGCGGAAGGCGCGCCTATTAGACTCCGATTGGAGAAATGGTAGTTTACGTAGCATGAAATGTTAAGTGAAATTCCGGAACGTGCTTTCGATCAAAAGATATTACCAGTTAGCCGTCGACAATGCTATTCTGCCCATATTATGCACCGCTGTATGGCTGCTGGCAGGACTCGAATGAGAACTCCTAGGCACAACGGTACGAGTGAGTTTCGCAACGAGATCGGTGCGATCCCCCTCTACCGTTGTTAATATATCCGGTCAGAACCGCCAGGACAAGCCCGTGGCACAATGGTTAGAACGTTGGGCTTTTGACCAACAGGTTGTGAGTTCGAGCCTCGGGGCTGCATACCTCAGTGTTGGGTGTGACTGGCTGATGACGACTATCAGGCCAAAAACGATCACTTCAGTCTTCCGTGTCTTTGTCCGTAATGAACTTCTGTAGATACTACTTAGATGAACTCTTATATTGATTATCGTGTCGCAGAATCCCATGGTATTTAAACCGTGCCAGAAAGGCTGCTTGTTGGTGCGCTTCCCTCTGGCTGCCTGTAAAAACCACACTTTGTAAAAGATGACAAATTAAATAGGGTGCGTTTTTTGATTTCCGATGGCCTAAAAACTTCAAATATATCTTACAAAAAACATCCATAAAATACCTTTTCTTTTACGATGTTTTGATTTCAAGATACCCTAAGACCATGAAATGTTTATCCAAAATATCGTCGTATCTTTCCGTTTATCAAAGCGTCTTCTAAATATAGAACAGGATCCGAATTCATTGAGAACCTTAACAAACACTAAGTGAGATATTCTTAAAAGCATAGAGGAATGAATAGATTGCCTATATGGAAGGTCACAGCCTGTGTTTTGTAAGTCCTAAACACAAATTCAATAACAGGTCGGGTTCGGAGTGGTTCGGGAGCTAAAAATCTTCCTTAACTCATAAAACAAACCTTCTTTGATGAAAAACTGAATGAAAGCGTAACTTACCACCGGCAATGTACAAGAAGTGATATGCCTATTTCTGAAAACACCATAACTCAAAAGCCTGGGGCTATGTAGCATAATAATCATTATCATTGACCCTCAAGTTTGGCGAGGGTTTCAGTACGCAAAGAAAGTCTCGGAGGCCATCAAACCCCTCCTGACAGCGCTTGGATTTGGAGTGACACGAACCGGAGGCAATCATCAGGTCGCACGTATGAGGCCGAAAGAACTGCCGCCTCGACAAGAAACACCCGGATTCCCATATCGGATCAGGTGTCGTTGCAGTCAAGACAGCTAAGCCGGAGAAACCGGAAGATCGCTCGTGACGCGAATGGCCGAACACGCGGTAATAGCGTTAAGAAGCGACGTCAGCTCCCAGGTTGCGGTCCGTTCGACGGGCCCGATTACACATGCAATTTCGACGAGGCCGAAATTCTCGCAATGGATGACAACCGGATGTGCCTCGATCTGCTTGAGTCATGGCTCACCGGCACCCAGTATAAACAAGTACACCGATCTCCCCATTCCATATTCGGTGCTGAGACTTTGTCAGAACAAAGTCGTCAATCTGGCGGGGAGCGCGCTGGTGAACGCTGTTTACAACGCCAGTGTCGGCGAGCCAGTTGGTTGAATAAACACCCCGCTAACATCAATACAGGTAATGAAATAGCAACGGCTAACGACTCGATCACCGCACCAAGGGCAGCCGCCCTCTCTAAAGGAAGAGTCGCTAATTTTCATAGGTATGTGGTGGCATGGCGGTTGCATCCTATAAATACTGCGAACCGTCATGCATGAATTACTCGTGTGTGCTGGTTTTTGTGATGCTGAATCCGGGCACGAATTCGAAATATCATACGAGCAAAACTCCTGCCTCAGCGATTGTGCAAACTTCTCAATAGGGTTAGTCTCTCCGTCTGTAGCAGCCCCATCTTTGTAAAAAATTTCAATCAAAAGCCATTTCTCGAGTTTCGGTCAGCATTTCATGAGACAAGCAACCTTCATCGCTCTACCTGGAAGATGCGACAATACAATCACACCCCATAGGAGTTTCACGCTACGTTCATCCTCTTGAGTGGCCAATCCTTGCAGTCAAAACGATACTTCCATAACTGACGGTCCCTATGTTAGGCACGGATGACGAGCCATACAGGTAAATGAGGACATTTGGACATAAACCGCCGCACGCCGCAGCGTCTCACTTTTATAGATCTGGTAACGGGTAAGACTCTTATGACGAACAGTTATATATGTCCTTTAAATGTTCATTTCGAAACAGAAAGACCCAAATTAATAATCCCTTCTCCTCACTTACGCTACTTAAAAAGGATATTTCTTTTTGATCGATGTAGACCGGACTTGCAGTGAAGACAGACACGGACAACAAAGGTGTCTACATTCAAACTCATTCCTAAAGACTTTCGTAGCTGCGCAAAAGGATCATGCTGACAAATTTAACCACTACCCAAGTGATTTATTGCATTGCACGTCATTTCAGTTTGGGCTTCCATTTCCCATAAAAATACTTTTAGATTTATTTTCGAAATCAGCAGAGAAATTTCCGCGTCTTAAGCGCTCCCACTTAGTGGTCGCGATGCTCTCTGTGTTCGCATATGTTGCGGGCTTGTCTCCGAATTCTTTTAAGATCTTTGTAAAATTCATATAAATCATTTTGAGATACAATTTAAAGGAAGCATAAAGCCCTAAAACCTTTCAGAAAGTGTTTTTTCGGTCTCTTTTACTTAATTGTGGTGTCGTAAAAACAGAAACTACGGATGATATTTTTACATTTGTTTCCAAAAAGTTAACTTTGGGCATTTATGTGCACGTTATATAAGCTCAAGTTAAACGACTCAGAGTGTCATTCTTCTTTTTGAGTTAGTTTCTTTAGTTGTTCTTGCAAATTCTGCGCAGTAACTCAGTTAGCTAGTCATTTTATTAATCTTTTGTGTTCACACTGATTTAAGAACCGCCGCAGAAATGCATGAAAGGTTTTCTTCCTATTATTTTTCACTAATAGGAAACTACATATACAGCCTGCAGTTTGGAAACCCAATGGGAACGATACAATTTATAAGAACTATCAAACCTTTAAAAATCAAGATGTTTGTCCTTTCCAGGCATAGTTAAAAGGCGCGGCTTCCTAAAAAGTATATATAAGTCTTTCCGGAGGTCTCGACTGAGGCAATATGAGAATATTATATTACCAGGAACGTACGCAGTGGGTAAAGAAGGTTTATAAAAATTACCCATCCACGCAGTTGGAAGTATACATAACTACAGGTCTGCATACTTCCACATATGAATTAAGTGGAACTTAAGTCCAACTCAATTAAACCTTAAGTTTCTGTTAAGCTGCCCATTCTATTAAAAGCCTAACTTAAAATTTGTGCACATATTTTTTGTGTTTGAATGTATAAGTCCTCACCGAATGTCCAAAATCATATGTTTTCTCGTTTTAACAGAAATAAGTAAACGAAGAAGATTTGTCCTTTAACATCTAACTGTTCCTGGCAAAGAAGATCATATTTTTGCCAAACACCACGACCATTCGCACAGTAATTTTGCCTAATCGATCGTTCCGACAAAATTAAGTATGTATATTTCCTCTGCGAAATTAAACCATGCACGCATCCCAGAAAGCAGTTTTCCCTTTTCTCGTGTAAAATAGCACGGCCTTAAACAAATAATTACAATAAATAATGCAAATACTTGCTCTTCGCAAAATCATCGATCGGTAAGCATTGGCTATTTGGCAAATACTCATTTGATTAGGCTTAAACGCGGCAGAGATACTGGGTTTCCTGTTATTTGACTTTCGAGTTTCGTTTTATTCAGGTGTTCAGAAGTAGCATTTGATCCCAAATTTTTCATCATATGGCAATGGTCACATAAACGTGTAATGTTTTTTTTAAAAATACCAATCTCTTAAAGATAAAAATGGCTAGGTAATTTGTGAAGGATTTCTTATCTATTTTGACCTTTATCCTTCGTTTGTGCAAAAAACGTGAAAGCTGAATCTGTAAGCAATACAATTTTATATTTACCGAAATTGACAAAAAATTCATTTATAAGCAATCGAAAATATAAAGGTAAGTTTCGGTCTCCCAGTTATGCCCCTGTCAGGTCGAGTTGGATCGCAAATTTAATTTTTGACCTTTTTAGGTGAGCTGGTTGAATGAAAAAACGAAATCATGTAAGTAACTTTGTGACCAACTGGTTTCGACTTGACTGAGACGTTTACGCTACCAATAAAATTGTGATTTTTATTAAATGCCAGTAACCTTGCATCGAGGCAATCCCCAAGTTCTTAGACGATTAACTTGATTTCCTTTCTTAGTTTAAAAGCATTAGCCTATGCTATTATCCGAAAACGTGCTTGGAATTACTACCTTAGTTGAAAGAAGTAATTTGTCCAGTTTCAGTCGAACCAGTAGTAACAGAGAGATGGAGAAATTTCTGTGCTCTAAATTACTAAATTTTACGGACCCGAAAGTCAAAGTGGACTGATTTTCGTCAAAAAGATACGATAACAGGATGATGTAAAAATTTCCCCCTGTCTTCGTAGCTGCAGCTTCAAACGCTTGCAAGCGATCACGCGTCGAGGAGCTATCAGTGGTGAATCAGTAATGCGGAAGGAACCTGGGATATACACTTCTCGCATATTTTTCGTCGTCAGTCAAGTACACCTCAACTTAAGGCGGTTTTACCCCAGTAACCAATATTCCTCATTGTTTGCAATATGAACGTCAGTGGGAAATTAGCAAAAAATGGTCCAGTTTCTCTCGTTTTTATTGAGGGTTCATTTTCACTCTGACACCGTCTATTTTTCTTGGACCTCTATTTCAACGAACAAAGACAGCGACTTTCCGCGTAATAACTGCCAGCGCATCCTGATGTTTCTCTTCATGCTTTTGATGACATCTCTATAGGTGGAAACTTGAGAGAATGAAATTTTCCAGTGAAGAGTAAAACAGACTGGTGAGAAATTTCACTGCCCACTTAACACCCACCCACGTCTGCCCAGATATCTTCCTAAAGTTTTACATACGAATAGCCCATTAAGTCTAAAACTTGCAAAAATAATAGTGGTTATATAGATTCCGGTTGTTCTCTTTAGTTAAAATCTGGAATTTGTTTCTCCTATGTTCCGTCGGTAGGTACGAGTTAACTGTCACTCTGCAGAACTTCCGGTACTCATTTGCTTAAAATCTTCGTCCTTTATTTGCTTCTAAAATATAAGCTGCCAAACTTTAGCCTTCGTTGTTGACAGCCCATTTTATCCGAGCAAACAAGTCAACCAAATTCAGGTAGGGACGCTGTTCATTGTTGACCTACTTGGATTCTCAGGGAGCATTTCCTCGTAACTGAAGTTACCGCTATTTTTGTGTTTATCAGCAGACCTATCCGATTCTTATGATGTCTGTGCCGCGGCTTGTCATTCGATGTGAGTCAGCGAATACGAAGACGGCAAGCCCTCTCCGTCGCGTGCACGCAAGTTGCAACACCCGCATAGGTTCACTGGGCTTTCCTTCGCTTTGAAGAAACCTGAGTCAATTATCTGTTCTTTATTTCAGCGCGTCATCAGTTTTTCCAGGAGTCTTGTCGACGATGGGCACCGGTGACCTCGATTCTCAGCAGCCGAAACTTGTGACAACGGTGTTCGCTCTTGACAAGGCACGTCTGCCTGATCATGAAGCCTTCACACTAGACCAGATTTCGGAGATAATGACCGGCGGAGCTCTCACAAAAAGTACAGTGGACAAATATGAAACGCACATATACTCCGACAATATACGCTTCGAGCTCGCAAAAAATGAAGCTAAGCTCCCTGACATCCGCTTCAAAAACATAGTCCAATTTGTGACCCTGACCGACTATCCTGGTGTCTGTTTCATTCTCTCCAAAAAACGCTCCCAGGGACAATATATTATTATCAGATTTGAAAATTCCAAGCAATTGTCTGTGTTTAGGAAGCTTATTCAACGTTCCAATAACCAAGTATTATTTGATGTAGCGGAACCCCAAACAAATGGAAGTGAAACTGACGTGTTGAAGACACACCCTGAAAATATTCGTGATGGTAGGCAGTCACATTCACCGCCAGCTCAAACGCGGAAACCAATTGTTCTTCAAAAACCAACTATCAAACGCTCTACACGACCAACGAACCTAAGTTCAGAGGTTGCGTGCAAGACTACATTTGTCAGTACTGGTCATTGTGACGAACATCAAGCCCCAGGCAGGTGTATATGCACACAGACGGATGGTCTCGTACGAAATTCTCGCTCCCAGGATGTGCACGTACCGCCCTCCATACTTGTATGCCTTCGGCACTCGTCAAGCCCCAAAGCTGACGGAATGACTGAAGGTCCAAATGGCTGCCGAATTTCTAAGGCTACCGCAGTCGCTGCAGTCCAGACAGACCGTCAGTGTCAATGCGGCCACCAGCATAACTCATTCTATCGGGCATCCGAAAAGATCCAGGCCATTCGAGAACCCCAAACGACTGGGGTCATTCCGCCACACATATCAAAGGCGACGCAAACAAAGGCCAATTGCGCTTGTAAACACTCAGGGAAAGCCCACACCCGTCACACCCATTGTTCCCATCGGCCCAACCATTCCTGTAAATGCCGGAAATCGCAGAGATCGATAAGCAGAGTAAAGTTGCCTGTAGCTATCCAGTGTGGCGAACATTCTTCCTTTTCTACTTCTTCGGATTCCAGTTCGGAACTTTCCTACAAGATCTACTGCGCTCACAGCGATCGCAATCGTGTGTCAAGGACCTTGAGGCAAGAAGATAAACTGCCACAGTTATATCGTCCCTGTGCTGTCAAGCCGTCCAAAAAACGGCCTCGCAGATTCGCAGAGGATTATATTTAGGCAAGTAAACTGCGAATTTATCGTTGTTGTGCCTTTTGCTGAATCCAGTACAAGGTGCTATGCCGCTGTGTGTTCGAACATTTCGACCTTTATGCAGCCGAAAATACTCTCGTTGACTTACTCCGAGAGCTTGCACATACATGGTGGCCCAAAATGTATACACGCTCTGATTAATTATTTAATTATATTTCCTGTCCAAAGTTAAATATAATCTACATACACTGTCTGCTTGTTACGCTAAGGCTTGTTTTCAAACGGTCGTCCGTTTTGTCTAGGTGCTACTGAAAACTCCAAGCGATTGAGTCGCATACATCAAGAGGCAGCTCGTATGATATTTAAGAACATTCATTTTCAATGACTACTCGAATTTGGCGACTGCTGCCACTTTTGTAATGCGGAATTTACGCCTTGGGCCTCCGCATAAAAAGGCCTTTAATTACTAAATCTGGTATAATCGCTACACCCTTTCATCCCGTCCATCTCTCTGGCAACACCTCATCAAGGTAAAACTGAAGAGCACGATTGTATTGTGGCGGTGTCCCATTTGGCTGGAAGTAAAATTTCTCAAGTTTAAAACCTGGCCTGAATGCTATTATAAGTCCACTGGATCAGATGCGGATAGAGCGTAACTTTAACTCAGCTATCAGCGGGAATTAAAAAGAATTTTCGGATAACCCGTACATAAATTTTAATAGGCGGTTAGGAACCTAACCGAGGACTGCTTGTGTGGGGCACAAACAGCATTTGATGTATGATTCTATCAAGTCACGTGTTTGCTTGCGTGGCGAAAAATATGGAGAATTCGTTCGTAAAATCAAGTACTTCTCGAAAAAGGGGGCGGATGTATGAATTCAACGTGTCTGCATAAGTAAAAAAAGAGTATACTGGTCGAACATCGGAATCCTGAGACTCGGATGAGAACTCGGTCAACCGATGTATCGATTTGGCACCGGTATGCAAAGCCCTGCATAGACATTTCCACGCTTGTGCTAGTGATTGGCAAATGTCGCCTTATCCGCTGCTGCTTTCATCTCTGACGATGCATTACTGCATGAGTCCCAAAATACAGACGAAAATCAAATGGCTCTGGTGCCCAGCCAGTCCTATTCGCTCTTTGCGAAACTTTGAGCATTTCCCCCCAGAGCCGCATAAATCATGTATTATGTGAGATAGGCAGTGCCAGGTAAAGTCCTGAACAGAATATCTAAAGTCGTCCTATATATGACAGCTTAATAGGCCATGCGGTGTCCACAAAAAAAGCTGAGCAAACTTCTGTGGTGATATGGATTATGGAAACAATCTTATCATTGCCAATCAGATGCCAAGTCTCACTGACGCTGCAGAAAAAACAGCTGGAAAATTCAACACACCTTAGTGTGCTTCAGAGTCAAAATGCACCACAGCATGCAACGTGGTCCGGTTAAAAACTGACGCTGAAGCTCACGTAGGCCTAATCATATTGATGCAGACCACGTCGATCACGCAAATTTCCTCCCACATTTAACAAACTCCGTTAGACGCGAACGCATCAACTGTCTTCCGATAGTTATGACTATGCTATGCAAACCGAGCTCAATTTAATCTAGGGCTTATGTCAAGTCGTGCATATTTGGCAAAACGTCCTCGCACTTCGTACAACACCTTTATCCGCAACGCCGTCTGACATGCTTTAAATTGCGCTTTTTACATCCCCAAATATGTTTCCTGCACTCCTAAGACTATGTTTGGATAATAGTAGGCATGATAACTGTGGGGATGACTGTCTATACCCATCAACGCCTTCTCCGTAGACACACTGACTACAAAATGTAGTAGGACCATGCAAAAATAATGTTACTTGAATATTTTTGCCAATTCAGACGAGAAAATCAATATACAAAAGTAGGATTAAGATCAGTGAAGGATTATGTCGGAGACCAAGGACTACACTTAAATCGACCCCTGCTGTCACGTACCTGTTATAAGTGTACAGGAGACAATTATTAGTTAGGTTCAATTTTTTGCGCACATACAGGGGTTGCCAAAAATTGGGCTCTTTACTTTTGTGTTATCAGGTAGGATGGAAATCCTATAAGCATGGACCACCGTCTGAAATTACTTCGTAAGCTGTGTCCTTCTGGTTTTCTCCTGCAGGCTTTCCAGGTCACCTGATAAACCCCAACTTTAAAATATGGCACTGGAGGACTTAATTTAGCCACTTTTCTACTATATAACTTATTTATTTTTTTAGCAAGTGTCGCGAAAATTGTTCTGCCAGTTAGTTTTTGGAAAAGGTGATTGGGATTGTTAAATATAGTTCTTTTAACCTAGGTTCTCTATGAGCTGTCTGAAATATAGGGCTTTTAAATTTTTTTAGAAGCGTGGGGTATGCATGTTGGGAGAGCACACTTATAGATATTTTTACGCGCTGTAGAAACACATCCAAATGCATCAACTCTCGAAATACACTACCTCTATGTAGCAATTGGCACGTAGACCAAAAAACACATGTTTCTATGTTCGTTACGAGTGACGGTGCTGCTAACCGATGGTGGTTATTTGTTCATAACCAAACCATTGCGACTACACAAACAAGCAGATTGACAGCAAAGGTCGCGATCCCTACATTATTGTAGTACTATCGAGAAATGGGTAGATGATGTCTGGGCATTCATAGGAGCGGAGACAAATGTCTGAGGATGGGACGGGAGATGTGTATAATCCACAACTCTTAGTTAGTCATCTGTGTTAGTCATGAAGGAGAGTTCCATCTGGAGTTTTTATTCGTCTGCGCAGACACCTAAACGTCTGCGGGACTTCAATAAAAGGTGGTTTCTTTATCCTCGGCTAGGATATTCGAGATCCAATGAGTAGCTTAATTTTTTCGATTGCTTCAGGCGCAAGATTATGCCGACTGGTTTTTTATGCGAAGTCGCGAATAAGCGACACACTCTAATCCATCTTGCTGTCACATGAGTAGCACTGCCATAGATGACTTACGATGAACAAAACAGATTGCTGCGTCACCATCGTTGGCAGCGTGTGTGGCCGGATCTCGTCGAGTGAGCTGCAACTTGAGAGCTGGCGTCATTTCTGCGCACCGCTGCCGCGTGTTCGGCCATTCTCCTTCGGAGCAGTTGCGGACAAAACAACTACGTCGGAGAAACCGGAAGACAGCTCCGAAGGAGAATGGCCGAACACGCGGCAGCGGTGCGCAGAAATGACGCCAGCTCTCAAGTTGCAGCTCACTCGACGAGATCCGGCCACACATTTAAATTCGATGAGGCCAAAATTCTCGCAAGAGGCGACAACTGAGTGAGCCGGGAGCTACTGGAATCATGGTTTACTGGCCCCCAGTCTATTAACAAGTGCAATGATCTTCCCATTCAATACAGCGTGCTGCGACTTCGTCTAGGCGGAGTAATTGGCCACGCGGGGAGAGCAGAGGTGAACACTCTTCCCAACACCCGGGTCAACGCGTCAGATGGTCGAGCAATCATCACGCCAACATCCAACGCACGTGATGAAATTGCAGCAATTATCGACTCGAATGTCGGCTATCAAGCAATGATCACACCAAGTGCGACAATCCCGGATGAAGGGGGGAGCCGTGAACATACATAGGTATGCGGTAGCATGGCTACTGCATCCTATAAATACCGCTGCCCCTTGTGCAACAACCGCCCGTTTGTGCTCTTTTGTCCCTGGTGATGGATTCGAGTAGGAATCCGAAACGTCAGGCTAATAAAGCTCTTGTCCCGGCGATCGTGTCTCCTTCTTCAAAAAGCGAAATTTAAAGCATGTCAGACGGCGTTGAAGATAAAGGTGTTGTACGAATTGCGAGGACGTTTTGCCAAATATGCACGACCTGACATAAGCCCTAGATTAAATTGAGCTCGGTTTGCATAGCATATTCATAACTATTGGAAGACAGTTGATGCGCTCGCTTCTAACGGAGTCTGTTAAATGTTGGAGGACATTTGCGAGATCGACGGGATCCGGGATCCGCTCTTGCCACCTCAGTTTTAGTATCCGCAAATTCAGCTAAGATGGAAGTCGATACTATGGCGATAAACAATGACGAATTTACCTAAAATGAATACTTTGAACAAAGGTACGTGTTCCAAACCATATAGGGGCCTGCCCGTGTCCCAGGCGTTGTTTACATGAAGACTTATATGTATCATTCGCTTTGGAGCGTTGCGCGTACCTAACTTTCCCTATGAGGAAGTGATAGGCTGATCGACCTGATGTAGTCGAATTGCCTTGGAGGTACTTCAGTTTTGATTACATCTACTCGGTTAATTTAAAGGGCGGCTGCCTTTTATGGCAACGATTGGCCGAGGTTGGACATTTGCTTTATGGATTTTTTTTCAGACCACAGAATCGGGCTAGAGCGGTGTCGGTTGCCTTCATTTGGTGCCATTCATTATCCGCGATCACATTTTTACGTCTGTTTTGGCTTGTGATTGCTGTACTGGTCTGTAACAATCTCTGTCATCAAGAAAGGCTTCAGCTTTTTCATTATAGTCTTTTCGATTTATTACGACGGTTGATCGTCCCTTGTCAGCAGATAGAAGGATAATTCCGTCGTCTCTCCTCAGTTCCCTCATAGACTTTGACTCACTCTGTGAAATACATTTGCTTGGTCTGCGTGTCATCAGCAAGGAGGTAACACGTTTGATGTTTCACTTCTCACAAGCATAACTTCCAGAGCTGCACTGAAGTCGACAGGATCGACATCTGCAGTGTTGAAACAAGTGTCACGCTGTAACACTCGTAGTTGCTGCTCAGACGAGAGGTTGAGGACCAAGTTTGAGCTTTCTGTGCCTTGTGGATTTAGCTTAGTCAGTTTCTGTTCCAAAACTTCTCCCTTCTTAGCTTACCTGTGGTGTTCCAAAGCGAAGACCGTCCTTCCAAGATCTGCGGCGATAGGATCGCCGAGAGAGTGGACACACTGCCTTCTGTTCTCCTCGAAGTCAGCCTTGCATTTCTGCAAACGCCGGTGACAGCCGTCGATCAGAACTCTTGTCATACGTTTGAGAAACCGCCTCAAAACGTCTATTGCCATGGCCGTATTAGCAAGAGCTTTATATGTCGGGTATCAGGGGGTTATTTCGAATTGGAGACATCGGTGCAGAAAACGCGACGGACCGTATGTTCCCGCAGCACATGTGGAGAATGTTGGTCATATTTCTTAGCATAAACTGAGGAAAAAATCCTTTGAGAATTCACAACAGTAGCACAGCCTTCGATGCGTCACGCCAAAATTCTTCCGATCAGATAATAGCATCTCCAAGGACAATTAGAAGAACCAGCCAGATTCTCTAAACTCTGTTGACACTTCCATAGTTTATACCATCTAAAGAAACATGATCACTTCTCCAGAAATAATGGTTGTAAAAGCTGCTTCATCAGAAACCAAAACCAGATAAATTAACACTAAGAAACTGCACTGCTTACGAGGTAACAAGTCTTCATTAACTACATCTCGAAAGGATGCGACCCCCTCCCCCTTCACGTGTGTGCCATGCAATCTACCTAATGAATTAAACCGCTGTTTCAGGAAGATTTTAATATTAAAAAAATGAAAGAAGAGCAATAAAGCTCCAGGCTTGTGTGAGCGGGTCGAGGCTGCTAATTGATGTGACAACAAGGACGGATCGTTTGGAAAAAATAAACAAAAATGTTGAATGACAATTCCGCCAAAAAAGTGGATTGCGCAAGCATTAAATGCAGCAGTGTTGTGTTAAAGGAATAACCTAGGAGTTGAGATTGAAATTAATGAAATTCGTACATTTTGCATAAAACAGATGAGATAAAGGGCGTTACATCGTCTGTAGCGATCAAAACATTGTCGGTGAGAATTCATCCATAATCTTTTCCAGTCCTCTGATAAACTTAGAGGACTGGAGAAGTTTGTTGACTTCCGATGTTTACGAGTCATTTGTGGATGTGTTCTACAGTTTTCCGTTTCTTAAGCAAGTTTTGTTTATTTTCTTTGGGCCTGTTTATGTCTGGAAGATCTGACGGTAATTGCTAAGGGGTTTTATTTGCGCAGCGCGCAGTGCAATAATAGTACTTCGATCTTGCAAGCTGACTGAGGGATTTTTCTCATCGTTTGCTAATTTATTAACCAGCAGAATTCTACAAATCCGACATCTTAGACCGGATGAAGATGGTATGCTTGGTGATCTACTAAGAGTGACGTTAGAAATTTGAAGGGCCCGCACTTTTGTCATCCCTGATGTAGCTCATATGCGGAAGAAAAGTTTGCTTTTTAGAATAAAGACTGTCCTTTGATCGTGAAACCCTCGACGAAAGGACTTAAAAACACTGCCAACTCCGACATTCTGAAGCCTCTTAAATTATGATGTTGGTTCAGAAATGGGTAAGATGTGGTTTGGTAACCCCACCTGATGGACACAATACTGTTGGGGTTGGGGCTAATGGTTAGGGTTAGGGGCTAGAGTTAGGGTAAGGGTTAGGGGATAGCGCAGCGATTTCTCACCCATTCAAAGGACAACCGCGCATTCCCAATAGCTTCCCTTTTGCATACAACTACCTGACCTTGTCGCCTGTGCCTTACCCGACTCCACC